TAGCTGCACCACCACCTCCTCCAGCTGTGACTGATATGCCATTTAAAGATGCTACTGCGTTTCCATTACTGGTTGACATCAATTGTACATGTGTATGAGAAGACGAGGTGGATGATGATGAAGAGGACGAAGATGACGAGTTGGGCAACATTACCGTACCCCCTATGCCACTTACAATGGGTGCCAGCATGCCAACACCAATGCTGTTCACTGCTGTACTACTGGTGATGCCAACGCTGCCGCCATTGTTGCTTACAGATGAAATGACACCCAAATTGGGACTTAATTATTGGCCAAGGAGAGTCAATAAAAAGTCAAAAATTAATTTAATTAACCATCAGTATTAAAAAGGAAAAGACGTTATCAAAGACATCAAAAGATTGTATCAACTATTATATTATAGCATAAATCAGTGTGAATGTGTTTTGATCTCTTAAAAATTAATAAAAGTAAAAACATTTCGGTACTCAAATAGTAAAATAAAATGAATGAAATTGATCGAATTGATTGTTACTGTTGATGATGGTTAATTTCTTTACATTTGACCAACTTTGCAGCTTTTTTTCACAGGTACTTCCACTCTGGCAAATTATTTGTATTAAATAATCAATAATATCGGTGATGGTACTCACATATTAATTAGCACCCACCTCATACAGCCTTACATTTTCGTATTAGTAAGAAAAAAAAAATTGTTTATAGTTTATATCAAATATTTGTAAAACCCAGTTTAAGTTATTAAGCAAATGGATTACTTTTTTTTTTTTGAAAAATTTGTTTATTTTAAAGTTATCCAGTTTTTGGCGTTTGTTGATACAAAAAAATAAGAACTCCTGGATAAATCTACTGATGGCGGCAAATAAGTCTTGAAGTAAATAATTTGTTTCCATACCAAATAGAAACACTGATATATAAACTTTAAACAATTTTAGAAGAAGTTAAACTTTTTAAATCAAAGACAAGCCTGTTTTGAAAATAGTATATGGACTTTAAACGCAAGTTTTTATTTTTGAGTTGCGTGAAAAATATTTGTTTGCGAAAGGGAGAACCGAATTGTATCAATTTATAAGTATGAAACGGAATCAAAAGTGCCTATAAAAATGGACAGCATCTACTAAATGTTTAATTTGATATCGCGTTAAAAAGATAATGCAAAACGGAAAATATTTAAATAAAATATTAATAAACTTAAATGCATTTTTTAAAATAAAATTCAAAATATTAAAAGGGCACAACTCTAAAGCTTCTTCAACTAAACCGATTTCATAATTTTTATTTAGGAACAAATGAAAAAGATGCATAATATGCTTAGTGGTTTCGAAGGCCTTAATCCAAATTTCGCTGCGATCAAAACCAATTATTTTTAAAATTCCTAAACCGGTAATTCTTTAAAGGCTAATTAAAAACATGAAAGGAAAGCTAACTTCGGGCGGAGCCGAAGTTGATATACCCTTGCAGAATATTCTGTAAATTATATTGGTTGGCCAAAAATAAAACAATTTCCCAACTTTAAAAACACCAAAGTTATGGCATTTCCGATCAATCCAGTTATATGGCGGCTATAGGATATAGTCGGCCGATCCTTATGAAATTTGGTAGGTTGAATTTATTGACCAAATATAAAACCCATAAAAATACCAACTTTCTAACTTTAAAAACGCTAAAGTTAGGCCATTTCCGATCGTTCAGTTATATTTCACCTATAGGATATAGTCGACCGATCCCGGACGTTCCGACTTATACACTGCATGCAAAGGAAAGAAGGGTGAGTGCAAAGTTTCAATTCGATATCTTTAAAACTGAGAGACTAGTTTGCGTAGAAACAGACAGACGGACAGACGGACGGACGGACGGACGGACAGACGGACATGCTTATATCAACTCAGCAGGCGATCCTGATCAAGAACATATTTACTATATAGGGTCGGAGATGTCTCCTTCACTGCGTTGCACACTTTTTGACTTTAAGAAAACGTGTTCTTTGCAACTCTATCTTGGCATTCCATATAATTTCTTCAGTGTTGCTGCCGTTAAAAGATCAAATTTTATTCCTTTTTCGTTTTGCTCGAATAGATAAGCAGTTCCCGTTTAAACAAATTAAAAATAAATTATTTACAATCCAGGTTTCCGTATTTATATCTTTTATAACCCAGAATTAAAAAACAAGTGAATAATATATATAAAAAATTGGTGAACAAAAATGTCAAGTACGATATGGTTTGAAGGTCTTATGAGGTATTCTATGGGGTTGCATTTCGTGCAATTAATATTAATCGTCGCCTTGTATATACTGAGTTACTTAAAAACAAAAATAATGGTGTATACCTATGTTCTTGGTCTGTGTTTTTAAATGTGGACAATTTCATAATTGTTCTAATAAGTGCATAATAATTTCTCAATAAGTATTTCCCTTAATATAAACAAAATTCACGCAAGATATCAAAATCTCGCAGTGTTTTGATAAAAATATTTTTCTTTTAACGATTTAGACTATACTCGGCTTTTAGTAGTAGAACCTAAAACTATTGTAAAATGTATGTAACAGGCTAAATTATAGTGCATTAGTCTTTACTACAACAGATGTCGGCACTGAGCCTAGTTTCGTCGTAAAAATCACTCACATCAGATTTTCTATCTTCTTGAGGTCGAAAGCGGGTCTTGCAGACAAACAGTGAACACTTTGTTAGATAGAAATGACTAGCGGGTAACCAATATTCTTTTCTAAACAACCTGTGATAATATACCTGAATATAAATCTATATATATTATATATGTATGTATATATATATTTCGGTGAGGCTATTTATTTCATAGCTGGTTTTGAGTATCCCGCATATACACGAATTAACAACACGTCTAACCTTTACATTTTTAAACTTATATTAATTTTTATACCCTTGCAGAGGGTATTATAATTTTGGTCAAAAGTGTGCAACGCAGTGAAGGAGACATCTCCGACCGACCCTATAAAGTATATATGTATATATTCTTGATCAGGATCGCCTCCTGAGTTGATATAAGCATGTCCGTCTGTCTGTTTCTACGCAAACTAGTCTCTCAGTTTTAAAGCTATCGAATTGAAACTTTGCACACACCCTTATTTCCTTTGCACGCAGTATATATGTCGGAACGGGATCGGCCGACTATATCATATAGCTGCCATATAACTGATTGATCGGAAATGCCATAACTTTGGTGTTTATACCGGTTACTCGTAGAGTAAAAGGGTATATTGTATTCGTGCAAAAGTATGTAACAGCTAGAAGGAAGCGTTTCCGACCCTATAAAGTATATATATTCTTGATCAGGGTCACTAGCCGAGTCGATATAGCCATGTCCGTCTGTCCGTCTGTCCGTATGAACGCTGAGATCTCGGAAACTATAAAAGCTAGAAGATTGGCATTTTGCATGCAGATTCTAGGAGTTCCTACGCAGCGCAAGTTTGTTTCAAAAAGGTGCCACGCCCCCTTTAACGCCCACAATCGCTTATATACGATTTTAAAAATTTAAATATTTCGGAAAAGTAAAAATGCAGTTTTATTGTGTTTATCAATACCTATCGAAATGTAGAAGAAATTTTTCAAATCGGACCATTCGTTAAAAAATTATGCGTAATCAAAGTTTCTATCTTCTAACGGGTATCTGATAGTCGGGGCACCCGACTATAGCGTTCTCTCTTGTTTTAAAGTTAGGAAGTTGAAATTTTCTATGGGTTCTATATTTCGCCAATCAATCCGACCTACCAAATTTCATAAGGATCGGCCGACTATATCCTATAGCTGCCATATAAGTGATTGCTCGGAAATGCCATAACTTTGGTTTTTGTTAAGTTAGAAAGTTGGAATTTTCTATGGGTTTTATATTTCGCCAATCAATCCGACCTATCAACTTTCATAAGGATCGGCCGACTATATCTTATAGCTGCCATATAACTGAACGACTGGAAATGTCATAACTTTGGTGTTTTTAAAGTAAGAAAGCTGTGACTTTTTATGAGTATTAAGAATGCATCATATGAATAATTTTGGAGAATATAATTTACAGAATTATCTGTAAGGGTATATCAACTTTGGCTCCGCCCGAAGTTAGCTTTCCTTTCCTGTTTTGAATTGTTTTTTTCTGATTGTTCCTATGGTCCTACGATCCGGCTTGTTCCGACTTATATAATACCTGCAATAGAAAGACAAATTTTGGGAAAGTTTCAAGCAGATAGCTTTAAAACCGTAGAAACAGACAGGCGGACAGACAGACGGACATGCTTATATGAACTTAGGACGCGATCCTGATCAAGAATATACATATATACTTAATTATGTCGGAGATGTCTCCTTCACTGCGTTGCACACTTTTGACCAAAATTATAATACGCTCTGCAAGGGTATAAAATATAATATGCACAAAAACGTAAATTCTACTTTAACAAAAATGGTACCATAAAAAAATTTAAGTGTAGTGCTCTTAATGAAGCGTCCAACGGTACCGTAAGGCCAAACTTTTATTTTGAAATAAAATTATCGAAATAATTTTGTATAGTTACAATTGTTGACCTGGGAGAGGTTTTGTTTGTTTGAATACAAAACATTTAGTTGCTATTTTGAACAACCCTTACAACATGTTACATACATTTTTACAAATAGAACATACCCTTCGATTCTACCAAAAAGGGTTACTCTAGAAAAAATATTGTATGCTTCGAAAGTTTTGTGTATAGTCATTAAGTCATAACGTAAGCAAATTTTGTAAATGTTAATTTCCTAAAATTGTTGTATTCCGTACAACAGCAACCTGTGGTAATGTCGGTATGTTCTCAGTAAAAGGCAAAGAATCCATAACAGCAAAACTTTTTAGAAAAATTATAAGGTACATTTAATTGTAAATTTTAATTCTTTAATTCGATTGGAAAGAAAAATGCTTGCGTGAATCTTGTAACGTCCTTTGTAGTAACGTTTTTAAGAACATTTAAGTACACATTCATGTACTCCAAAAGAGCTGAAACATACCTGCATGGTTTGCACCATTGATTCTGTTGATCCAGTCCAAATCGGGCTCGACATTTTTTCATATTATTACCTACGAAAATAAAGACCAATTTAATATAATAATATAATATTTGTTCATTTCTGTTTTGATTTGTTAATAAGGATAATATCGATAACAAGGTAATGTGATTATGAACAATAACTAATACTGGTTATCTCTACGTTAAACCGATTATACAAAAGAATGATGATTGCGAATACCAATTAAAAAATGTAGTTTTATTATTCTTTAAACTAACTTAACTTATGTAAAAAATAAATACCTTTAATTTTAAATACATGCATGTCTTGCTATGCTACTTTAAAATATAATTGAAATAAATGATTGCTTCACTAGTTTTTCTACATGCACTATGTTAATTTAATTAAGAAAATGTTTTTACAATTTCATGCCACTTCAAAATTATATTAAAAAAATTCTTTGATCTACAGACAATTTATCCTAATAAGTTTTAGAATCAGGTTTTTGATGAATTTTGAATTCCGACAAGTGTGCATGTATGTGCCTTGCCAATATATTGAGCCAATAAATGTTTGCTAATTTGTTTCCAATTTTGAAGCATATTATAATAATACAAGTTTTAATGAGTACGTATTATATACATATATGAATTTTTTAACATTATTAAAAAAAGGGATTTACATATGTCCTCTAACAATTTCATCATATTTGACTTTGTTAATATTTAATTGATCTTTTCTGGCGTTATATAAACTGATTTTAATTCGTAGAATAGTTTAAGAAAATGTATCTAACCTCCGTCGTTGGTTTCTTGCTTCCGCTTCCGTTTTTTGCCCCGAGAGGCATTTGTACGAGAGCTCCAATCGGGATACATTTGCATGTGCAGTTGTCGCTCCCTTCGCGCCAACTCGTAATACTTCGCCTGCTCCTCACGCCCCAAGGCATGCCACTGGGTGTGGGATAAACGCGATGTTTCGCGAAAAACATATTATATAATAATAGTATGCAAGATGTATCGGAATTATGAAATACATAATCAGCCAATTCAATGTATTGCTTATATATATATATAATGTACCAGGGCTTTCAACACCAAAAATTTTTTGGCTATGATCTAAATTAGTATTGAACCTATATAATAATACCTATTTGTTTTTACGTACCGGATAATGAGAAATATTTAAGCTTGCAAATAAATTATTTTTGAGCATTTTTTTAACGAACAAGAGATTCAAGTTTGTATCGATACATTGTCCTTATTATTAAGTATTTTTGTAATATTTTGCGCTAAATGGTCTAGAATTAAAGTTATTTTTTCAAGTTTGTTAATTTTATTATAGAAACTGAAAGATAAACCTTTAAGCATAAGTACGATTATGGCGAAAATGTTATATTTATCTTATAAGAGACTAAGGAAACGATCATATCACCAGGAAAAAACGAAATAAAACGTATCTAGTAAAAAAAACCTGCACGAGTGATTACTTAAACTTACTTGAACACATCATAAAAATAAACATATTACCAATAGAAGTTAATTTGAACAATTTAATTTATAACAATTAATCATTTTTGCGATTCCGAGTATTGCTGGTCTTTGTAACATCCTATTTATTGTGATCTGCGGGATCTGCGGAATACTTATAATATAATTATTTATATATATATATATATATATATATATATATATATATATAGATATATACATATATCTATAAATATATTTTATATTTTTATACCCTTGCAGAGCGCATTACAATTTCAGTCAAAAGTTTACAACGCAGTAAAGGATATATTTCCGACCCTATAAAGTATTTATATTCTTGATCAGCATCACCAGGAGAGTCGATCTGGCCATGTCCGTCTGAATCTCCGTCTGTCCGTCCGTCTGTCCGTCTGTCCTTTTCTACACAAACTAGTGCCTCAATATTAAAGCTTCTTGAAACTTTCCCAAAAGTTGTCTTTCTATTGCAGGTAGTATATAAGTCGGAACGCGCCGGATCGGGCAACTATATCATATAGTTCCCATAGGAACATTCGGCAAAATATTATAACTTTGTTGTTTTTAATTATTTTTTGTTGTTCTATGGAATATGGTAATATTTAAATTTAAAAATTAAATTTTAGAATTAAATTAAAATCGAACAATATCATATAGCTTCCATAGAAACGATCGCTAAATCCACATAGCTTTATTTTTATAGCTTGCAGAGGGTTTAATAATTTTGGTTAAAAGTGTGCAACGCAGCGAAGAAGACATCTCCGACCCTATAAAGTATATATATTCTTGATCAGGATCGCGTCCTGAGTTGATATAAGCATGTCCGTCTGTCTGATTCTACGCCAACTAGTCTCTCAGTTTTAAAGACATGGAATTGAAACTTTGCACACACCCTTCGTTCCTTTGCACGAAGTATATAAGCCGGAACAGCCGGGATCGGCCGACTATATCCTATAGCCGCCATATAACTGATTGATCGGAAATGCTATAACTTTGGTGTTTGTAAAGTTAGGAAGTTAGGATTTTCTATGGATTTTATTTTTGGCCAATTAATCCGAAATACTAAATACCGAATACTCGGATCAATCTAAAATTTTATTGCAATATTCTTCAAATGGTGTGCATTCAGAAAAAACAAGAAAGAAACAAGAAAGGAAAGCTAACTTCGGGCGGAGGCGAAGTTGATATACCCTTGCAGAATATTATGTACATTATATTCTCCAAAATTATTCATATGATGCATTCTTAATACTCATAAAAAATCCCAACTTCCTAACTTTAAAAACACCAAAGTTATGGCATTTCCAATCGTTCAGTTAAATGGCAGCTATAGGATATAGTCTGCCGATCCTTATGAAATTTGGTAGGTCGGATTGATTAACCAAATATAAAACCCATAGAAAATCCCAGCTTCCTAACTTTACAAACACCAAAGTTATGGCATTTCCGATCAATCAGTTATATGGCAGCTATAGGATATAGTCGGCCGATCCTTATGAAATTTGATAGGTCGGATTGATTGGCCAAAAATAAAACCCATAGAAAAACTTAACAAACACCAAAGTTAACACATTTTCGATCAATCAGTTGTCTGCCGATCTCGGCCGTTCCGACTTATATACTGCGTGCAAAGGAAAGAAGGGTGTGTGCAAAGTTTCAATTCGATTTCTTTAAGACTGAGAGACTAGTTTGCGTAGAAACAAACAGACGGCCAGACGGACATGCTTATATCAACTCAGGAGGCGATCCTGATCAAGAATATATATATACTTTATAGGGTCGGTCGGAGATGTCTCCTTCACTGCGTGGCACACTTTTGACCAATATTATAATACCCTCTGCAGGGGTATAAAAATAAACAAGAAAGGAAAGCTAGCTTCGGGCGGACCCGAAGTCGATATACCCTTGCAGAATATTCTGTAAATTATATTCTCCAAAATTATTCATATGATGCATTCTTAATACTCATAATAAATCCCAACTTCCTTACTTTAAAAACACCAAAGTTATGGCATTTCCAATCGTTCAGTTATATGGCAGCTATAGGATATGGTCGGCCGATCCCTTTGAAATTTGCTAGGTTGGATTGATTGGCCAAAAATAAAACCCATAAAAAATACCAACTTCCTAACTTTAAAAACACCAAAGTTATGGAATTTCCGATCGTTCAGTTATATGGCAGCTTGTTCCGACTTATATAATACCTGCAATAGAAAGACAACTTTTCGGAAAGTTTCAAACAGATAGCCTTAAAACTGAGGGACTAGTTTGCGTAGAAACGGACTGACGGACAGACGTACGGACAGACGTACGGACAGACATGCCTAGATCGACTCTTCTGGTGATGCTGATCAAGAATATATATACTTTATATGGTCGGAAATGTCACCTTCACTGCGTTGCAAACTTTTGACTGAAATTATAATACCCTCTGCAAGGGCATAAAAAAAATAGGAAAAAAATGTAAATACCCCCCTTAATACAGGGATGGACCCAAAATAGTTCGTATAGTTTTTCGAAAACAACCAATTTTTAAGCGACGTTCCTATGGAGGCTATAGAATATAAATTTCGAAGCGTTGTCAGATTTCGGATATAGATATCCGATCAGCGGCGTATTCGACATTTTTTTTTTTAAAAATAATATGTGTTTAAATTGTCCTATTAATTTTATACCGAAAACTAATCACATTAACCTTGCAGAATATTCTGTAAAGCCCATAGAAAATCCCAACTTCCTCACTTTACAAACACCAAAGTTATGGAATTTCCGATCAATCAGTTATATGGCGGCTATAGGATATAGTCGGCCGATCCTCATAAAATTAGATTGATTGGCTAAATATAAAAACCATATTAACTTCCTATAGGATATAGTCGGCCGATTTTTATGAAATTTGGTAGGTCGTATTGGCCGAAAATAAAACCCATAAAAAATCTCAACTTCCTAACTTTACAAACCCCAAAGTTATGGCATTTCCGAACAATCAGTTATATGGCGGCTATAGGATATATTCGGCCGATCCCGGCCGTTCCGACTTATATACTGCGTGCAAAGGAACGAAGGGTGTGTGCAAAGTGTCAGTTCGATATCTTTAAAACTGAGAAACTAGTTAGCGTAGAAACAGACAGACGGACAGACAGACGGACATGCTTATATTAACTCAGGACGCGATCCTGATCAAGAATACATTCACTTTATAGGGTCGGGAGAAGTCTCCTTCGCTGCGTTGCACACTTTTTATCAAAATTATAATACCCTCTGCCAGGGTATAATTTCAAAATTTGTGTTAGTAATTACTATGGATTTTAATCCATTTTCTATGGATTTTATTTTTGGCCAATCAATCCGACCTTCCAAGTTTCATAAGGATTGGCCGACTATATCCTAAAGCTGCCATATAACTGAACGATTGGAAATGCCATTACGTTGGTGTTTTTAACGTTAGGAAGTTGGGATTTTTTTATGAGTATTAAAACTGAGAGACTAGTTCGCGTAGAAACAGACAGACGGACATGCCTATATCAACTCAGGACGCGATCCTGATCAAGAACATATATACTTTATAGGGTCGGAGATGTCTCCTTCACTGCGTTGCACACGTTTGACCAAAATTATAATGCCCTCTGCAAGGGTATGAAAAGTAAAGTTTATATAATTAGTAAGCACGGACACACACAGCACGTTGAAAAATGCACAACAAAGAAAAAACTTTTTGTAGGCGGTTAATTCAAGAAAATACTAATATACGGTATCTATCAGAAAAACTCTTCAGACTCTTAAACACATGTGTCTATTATAATATCTAAATTAAATGATGCCTAGAGCACACACAATATATTGTTGTAAAGCGCAACTCTGCTCTTTTTTTTAAGGATCCCTTTGCTATATAATGTGCATTTTGTTCACTCTCGAATTGAAAACGGATCGCTAAATCCATATTAAAAGCGATTGTAAAGGAAAGGAAGATCGTCGAAAAACTGTCTCCTGAATGGTTCTTATGCTTTCATTTCAAGGAGCGCATGAAATGCTCTACATTGCCTTTTTACCTATTAATGTGTAACGGCACGGGGTAAAGGGTTCTTTCTTAATTTTATTTGATATCTTTAAGTTGGCAACTGGATCTACATATGTGCAAGCAAAGATAGATTTGATTAAGGGGTTATCCGGGTCTTGGAGCACGAAAAAAAGCCTATTTTCGTGAATTTTTTTTAAAGATCTTACGACCATTTCACAAATTTAATTTATTGTACATTAATGTTTATGGTTTGACCAACATTGTGTAAAAATTTGAACCAAAAATTTTTAAAATTGAGCCGTTGAGGCAGGCTTGAACTTGACCTCATAAAAATTGTGTCTTTGCGGTAGGCAAAATATCTCCGCCAATTTTTATCTGAAATCAAAAAACCAAAATTATTCTGATAGTGAATGTGTCTCGCTTGTCCTCTACGAGCCATTTTTTTTTTTAAGTTAAAAATTGAATTTTTGTAGCGCTTTTCATAAAAAGTCTCATTTTTTACGTAAATTTTGGCCATATTTTGGCTTATAAAATGAGTTGTAATTAAAAATTTAAAAAATCCCTCCGTTAAGGACAAGAGAATTATGTTTAAAAGAAGTGTGCAAAACCAGAAGTTGATCGGTGCAATAGTTTTTGAGAAATCGTGACTACCGACTTCAAAAAAGTGGTTTTGAGAAAAACGCGTTTAAAGTGCCGCATCTGCCCGACGCCAGAGCCCGAATGGCTTGTTGTGACGTTCGACGCGCTGGGTTTTAAATTTCTCCCATTCCTACAGTTTTGCTTCGATCGACTTGAAATTTTTAGACAACATTCCTGAAACTTTGTACTATTATATAAAAAAGTTTGAAAAAAATGAATTTTTTGAAGTGTCAAGACCCGGATAACCCCTTAAGTGTAAAACTAGCCTGATGTCGATTATTTAAAATAATATAATATCCTAGCTTGTTTTAAAATACTTGGCACTTTCAAGGGGTACTGACGAATGATTTGGGTTTTATTACATTGTTTTAATTAAGAAAAAATTTATTATTATTTTTTAGCAAAAAAAACATAATATTTTACATAATTTATAACAAATAAACAAATATTTTCGGATTATCTAAAAACTATGTTGTAAACATATAAAGTTCAATACTTTAAAATACTATAAAACAAAACATGAAAAAAAATTGTATTGAAAAAAAATTGTATTGGAAAAAAATAATTTAAAAATAGATCGTTGAATAAAGTTTGTTTAAGTAACCTTAAAGCAACTAACTACACCAGTTAAACTTAATCTTGATCAGGATGATCAGCAGAGTCGATCTTGCCTTGTCCGTCAGTCTAAATTAGATTATACTCATATATATATATATATATATATATGGAGTCACTGTCGATCGGCACACCTAAAGTTTTTCAAATCATTACTTTATATTTTATTAAGAAATTTAGGCAAATGGCACTCATCTTTATTGTTACTACTCTGGATGAGACACCCTGTTTATAAAGGAGTTCTAAAAAAATGTATTTAAAACGCTGTTTCATTCACTCATTCTAAAGAGGACCAAGTAAACATAACCCAATTGAACTTTAACTAGTTATGAGAAGTAACTTTAGAATGCGAAGACAACATTAGATTAATTTAATTTATATGTAGCACTGCGTAATTCAACGATCGTTTTCTAATGCGAGGTTTTAAAAAGCTTGGACTGATCGATCTTCAATACGGTTTCGGGCGCATGCTTTCGCCAATTCTATTCGAGATGCCCAATTTAGATTCGGATGATAATTTACCATCGTTTGTCAGATTCTTAAAGAAAGAATCGGTTGAAATTAAAACTTATAAGAAAATATTGTTTCAATTAAATTGTTTTTATGATTTTTAGTTTAACTCTTTTGCCAATATTTTTTCATTAATAGCAATATTTTACAGCCAATCGCTAGTGACAAGCCCCTTATTAAAAAGTAATTCAAATATTATTATATTACTTTAAATGCTAGTTTTATCTCAAGTATTTGTAATTTATTTAAAAACAAAATTTGTGCATCTTTGGCAGCGTAACTCTTTTTGGTAATACTTTAGAACACAGTGAAAGGTGGGCAATCGCAGGCTTGCTTAGAGAATTTAAAAAAAGTATGCATATTTTACATGATAATGCTCTAAAGAGCATTTTAATACTCGTTATTTGAAATTTAAATTTGTCTAATTACAACACTTTTTCATATTACAGGAGTATTTGTTAAGAAAAAATTTAAAATTTAAATAAGCAAATTTCTGACAACATTTTGTATTTTCTTTTTTTTTTTTTTGGGAATATGAAAAGCAAATTGGCTGTAATATAGGTAATATGTTAATTGTGTTTGTGTTTGTGTTCGTACATGTTTTGTATATTAAGCTAATCTTTATTGAAAAGTTTTTGTTCTTAATTTATAGGTCCGCCACGATGCTGACTGATTTAAAAAAAATAGAATACATAAATATCAATAGGTAAGCGTATATATAAACCCAATCTTTTACTGGCACATTTTCACCAATAAAAAAGTTATGTTAGATCCACTACAATTATAACATTATTGAATCAACGATGTAAAACATCATGTTCTTGTTATTTTGTACGTTTTTTTCTACAATTAAATCTTAACTAATATTTTAATTCAAATCAAATAGGTTAGTAAATCGATCCCGATTTATAAACATGTATAGATCTATTTTTACATTGACTAACTATGGTTAAACTCGTCTAAGTTATCTTCAAAGCTACAAAAGCAAGTTATACGTCTTCAAAGAATAGATTTGTTTGTGATTACTCTTTTTAGTTACGGAACTTTACAATATTTAAATATAATCAAGTATTTACACAAATTACATAAAGGTTTATTTTTTAAATGTACTGTTATTTCTAATTTTAGTAGGTTAGTTGTTAATGTTAGATGTGTGCTTTAAGTTGTTTGTGTGTAAGTGATTAAATGAAATAATATAAAAGTGAAATGCAATAAAAAGAAAAAAGTGTAACATTTTGAGAATTTTGTGCAGTACCTCCCGAATCCGTTGTCGATCTGTCTTTTTTTCGCTTTTTCTTTTTTGACACGTAACCATAGTTATCTCGTGCGCTCCACCCTGGATACAATTCCATATGCAATTGACGCTCTTGTCGAGCTTTTTCGTAATATTTGCTTTGCTCTTCGCGGGAAAGTTCGTGCCACTACAAAAGTATTATTAATAAGGTAATCAATTAGAAGCAGTATTTATAATCGTATATTTTTTTTTATTTTTTGTATTCCGTGTGTTAATGTTACGAAATTCGCTCTAACTTTGGCGTGCTATCCAAAAACGATATTTATAAAGATCCCAAAACTTTTTAATCGCAATTGAAATTGGATAAATCTTACTACGCGTATACACGTATAAATGTTATAATTGTCTTACCCGTCTCCCTAATATTTGATTAATAGCTGCCGATTCTTTCAGTGTACATTCAGCAACAACTTTAGCACGCATTTCCTTCATATAGAGCATGAACGCATTAAGTGGTTTTTTAATATGGGGTTTTTTTTTATCATTTAAACTCTCCTTAGAATCGTTCGATTGTGTACTTGATGAGTTTTTTGTGTCCAAGTTCCTGAAAAGCAAAACAAGATTATTACTAATATGTATAAACTTTTCCTGTATTTTAATAAATTGTATTATTTTTACCATACAAATATAATTAAAATGCGAAAAAATTAAATAGAAAGAGATAAGGCCAGGATAGTTAAACAAATAAAGCTGATAAAACAGCCATATTTCAAAACAAGAAAGGAAAGCTAACTTCGGGCGGAGCCGAAGTTGAAATACCCTTGCAGAATATTCTGTAAATTATATTCTCCAAAATTATTCATATGATGCATTCATATGATGCATTCTTAAAAATCCCAACTTCCTAACTTTAAAAACACCAAAGTTATAGCATTTCCAATCGTTCAGTTATATGGCAGCTATAGAATATTGTCGACCGATCCTTATGAAATTTGAAATGTCGGATTGATTGGCCAAAAATAAAACCCATAGAAAATCCCAACTTCCTAACTTAACAACCACCAAAGTTATGGCAGTTCCGATCAATCAGTTATATGGCGGCTATAGGATATAGTCTGCCGATCCTTATGAAATCTGGTAGGTCGCATTAATTGGCCAAAAATAAAACCCATAGAAAATCCCAACTTCCTAACTTTACAAACACCGAAGTTATGGCATTTCCGATCAATCAGTTATATGGCAGCTATAGGATATAGTCGGCCGATCTTTATGAAATTTGGTAGGTCTGATTGATTGGCAATATATAAAAACCCATAGAAAATTCCAACTTCCTAACTTTACAAACACCAAAGTTATGGCATTTCCGATCAATCAGTTATATGGCAGCTATAGAATATAGTCTGCCGATATCGGCCGTTCCGACCTTTATACGGCGTGCAAGAGAAAGAAGGGTGTGTGCAAAGTTTCAATTCGATATCTTTAAAACTGAGAGACTAGTTCGCGTAGAAACAGACAGACGGACAGACAGTTACTTCGGTGTTTGTAAAATTAGGAAGTTGGGATTTTCTATGGGTTTTATTTTCGGCCAATTAATCCGACCTACCAGATTTCGTAAGGATCGGCAGACTATATCCTATAGCTGCCATATAACTGATTGATCGGAAATGCCATAACTTTGGTGTTTGTAAAGTTAGGAAGTTGGAATTTTCTATGGATTTTATTTTTGGCCAATCAATTCGACCTACCAAATTTCTATTTCCTATAGCTGTTATATAACTGAACGATTGGAAATGACATAACTTTGGTGTTTTTAAAGTTAGGAAGTTGGGATTTTTTATGAGTATTAAGAATGCATTATATGAATAATTTTGGAGAATATAATTTACAGAGCTTAGCTTTCCTTTCTTGTTTTTTTAGAAAGTTGTACAAATAAATTATGCTCGTTTCACGTTAAAAATTATTTAACAGGTTTGAAGGAACGGGTATTTGTACATATGACTGTCGTGATTTTGGGAACTATAAGAGCTATATAGTTAGAAATAAGAAATACTAGTGAATTTTTCTTTAACAACTGATTAGGCCCACTTTAAAGCTTACTATCTTTATCGCTTACAAATAGCCAAAACGTGAGAAAAGTTTTTGTCTAATTATAGTTAAAGTAAAGTTCCGTTTTATTTGGTATGTAGTTGTCCCTATCCCTTTCTACTCATACTAGTCCCTCAGTTTTAAAGCTATCTGCTTTAAAATTTCCAAAAAGTTGTCTTTCTTTCTTCGGCAAACCGAAGTTTATGTACCCTTGCAGTTATTACAAATCGACTAAATTTAAATTTCTATGCCTATATTACTAAAAACAATGAAGCTATGTCGATTTTGCGCTGCATTTTGCCATCGTTTCTATGGCAATAATATTTGGTAATATTTATTTATTAAAAAAAATAATTAAAAACAACAAAATTATACTTTTTTTAATTCCTTTTTCCGATTGTTCCTATGGGAGCTATATGATATAGTCGCCCGATCCGGCTCGTTCCGATTTATATACTACCTGCAATAGAAAGACAACTTTTGGGAAAGTTTCAAGCAGATAGCTTTAAAACTGAGGGCCTAGGTTACGTAGAATCGGACCGACGTAGAGACAGACGGACATCGCTAGATCGACTCTCCTGGTGATGCTGATCAAGAATATATATATATACTTTATAGGGTCGCAAATGTCTCCTTCACTGCGTTTCAAACTTTTGACTGAAATTATAATACTCTGCAATAAGGAGCTAATAAGTTTCCTTTAGCTTCGATATCAGATCAATTAGGTAGACTCCGGGGAGCAAAATATTTCACTTCACTAGATATGGCTAGTGGCTTTTAACAATTCCATGCACTCTAAATTAATTGAATTTACCTGCTTTAATAAAGGAACTTGGCTGCCTTGCTAATTCGTATGCTTTACCAACGAAGCAATAAGCGTACGAGCGGTTGGAACTTGTTTTGGACAGTAAAGGCAGGATTCTAACATTTAACATTTTAAAATGCGTTTGAAATGTAATTATGGAATGGACTACATTTATCGAAATTGAATAAAAAAAAACAACATGGCGGCGTTTTTAAAATTTAGTGTCGTTTTTACAGAAATTTTCTTAATTTTTTTGTCGATAAAAAAGGCAATCTATAAGCATCAATGTAATTCTAGTTTATTCCATGGACAATTTAAAAACACCAAAGTTGTGGCATTTCCAATCGTTCAGTTATATGGCAGCTATAGGATATAGTCGGCCGATCCCGGCCGTTCCGACTTATATACAGCGTCCAAAGGAACGAAGGGTGTGTGCACCCGATATCTTTAAAACTGAGAGACTAGTTCGCGTAGAATCAGACAGACGGACAGACAGACGGACAGGCTTATATCAACTCAGGACACGATCCTGATCAAGAATATATATATACTTTATCTCCTTCACTGCGTTGCACACTTTTGACCAAAATTATAAAACCCTCTGCAAGGGTATAAAAAACATTAAGATTCGTTAAAAATTGACTGAAAAATGTAGTTTTTCAGAAAAAGCGTTTAAAGTTTTATGTACGCTCCACTTCCTTTGAGTCTGCCGGCTCGGAGGCTCATAACTTTTAAACTATTACGTATTTCGATTTGCCCTTTTAGTATAATATTCTAGATACTTGTAGCTAAAAAAAAAAAAAATTTCGATTCTTTTAAAGAAACTAACCAGAATGGACCCTTAAGGGGAGGGTACGGTTAATTGCACAAAAAAAAAGGCCTATTTTCATGAATTTTTTCAGACGATATCAAAGTACAACATTTATGCAATGTTTTCACAAATTTTCACCGAAATTTTTTTACATTTTTGATAACACTTTAAAGTCAAAAACGTGATTTTAGCCTAAAAATTAGATATATTAGTTATTACAAAATGAAAAATAATTAATGAATTACACCCAATTCCAAAAAGAATCCTTCTATGGAAATTGAAAAAACTTGAGCTTTACGGGTGCACAGTCTGTGCAAGTTCTAATCAAAAGATGCAGCTACATCGAATTGGAATGGTGCAAGTCGAGCCAACTGTCAAGTTAAATGTGTTATAAGTACACTTAAGAATCTGTTGACGGCTGTAAAGACAAGCTCGAGTGCGTCATTTAGCTTTGCACAGTTAATCGTAACACTACAAACTTTTAGAACTTTACCAATAGTTTCTCGTTCATTGGAGTTGATTCCTATTAGGGATATTCTAACCGAAATTGACAAGATGAAATTAAAAGAGTAAGCCGCTAAGAACATGCAAAATAAGGCTACGGTCAGTGGGAATGACAATGTCTTGCTTAAAATCAAGTAGAGACAGCTAACGAAATTGGATCCAGAGTCTAGAGGGCCTTGCTTGGTGGCTGAGGTTTTGGACGGAGACTGATATGTAAAGTCTACACGATATAAGTATCCACAAGAAAGTTTGCGAAAGCTACCGGATGTCCAAATTCCAGAAGAGCTTACTAAAAATGAAGTAATTCAATAAGTTGCCTTGTTTGGAGATGGACACTTCAATGTGCTTGACGAGGTGTGTTTGGCGAAGAACTCGTGTTAATTAGTTGAATAACGAGAGTCAAGTTGTGTAACTTGGAATATGATTTTATAAAGCTAAGAATGTTGAAAGAAACGAAAATAAAGTCCAGTTCATTAACATTAATTCGTACGGATAAATAAGTTATTTTATAAAGTTAAAACTCGCAATTTGGCATGTAAATGAAAGAAATGCCTTGTAAGAGCAATCATAAATAAACTTATGTTGTAGAATATTATAAAGGGTATGTAAAAACATAGTCCGGGTTTTATTTTTCTGAAGCTATTGAACAAAATTATTAAATTTGGCAGTGCCACATTTGAATTGCGATTCTAAGGTGTGACCACGGGTTGTGGTGGTCATGATGATAGACCTAGTAGGTTGGGAACTCAGTTTAAGAGCTGAGTACGTGTTGGCTTTGTTTGCGTTGCTAGATTTTGTCATACTTCTTGTTGAATTGAGTGTGGCGTGTGAAAGACATTGTCAATAATTTGACAATAAGAATACTGGGCAATAGAGGCTGCGAAGACTCGCTACATCTGCTGTAACCGAGGTTGATATAAATACGTTATAGGGTCGGATATATGGCCAACACTGGATACCCTTTGCAAGGGTATAAAAACTCATCTTAACGATGTGAAAACAGTCTAAAATAACGCACTTTCAACATATAAAGCTTTTGGATACCTAATTTTGTGAAAAATCATTTAAACATTTTTGTAAGGCTTTTTGAGTGTACTGCCATCCACAGTGATGAAAATCAGACGTTTTATTATATAGCTTTCATAGAAACGAACGATAAATTTATAGGAAAATTGCAAAGTTTATTTTTGTTATTAAACATATTTAAGCATAACAAAAAAGAAAAGTTAACTTCGGGAGGAGCCGAAGTTGTTATACCCTTGCAGAATATTCTGTAAATGATATGCTCCAAAACTATTCATAGGATGCATTCTTAATACTCATAAAAAATCCCAACTTCCTAACTTTAAAAACACCAAAGTTATGGCATTTCCAATCGTTTAGTTATATGGCAGCTGTA